CCGGAAACTGTCAACAGTCCAACAGGACGGGAGGGGTTCGGTAAGGCCAGGCGGTGAGCTCCCTACGTGTTAGAAAGACGGCCCGGACGTTACAAACGCCAGCGCACAGAGCCACAAGAACCGCAGTTTCCACCCGTACCCTCGATGAACCAACCTCAGGTGGTCGCGGAGACCTCCCACCCCACCTCCGGGGTGGGGAGCCTTGGCGTTGCTGGCCTATCATCGCGGCCGAGGCCGACGAGGTCTCTTCTTCATTGGTGGGCGGCCGGGTGATGTCATGATCGCCGGGCCGGCGAAGAAAGAGGGCGCCATGATTGGTTGGCACCGGGGCGGGGGGCGGTGGAAAGACCTGGCGAGTCTGGATTTCAAGCCTTTGCTGGACTTTCTGTTTCTATGTTTCCAGGACGTAGTGGGCTGCAGAGGGTGGGGAGTCGGCTCAGCAGAAACCTGGATTTAGTTCTGAGAACCGCGGGTTGAGAAGGGGTGACCGGAAGTGATCTTGGGACTGACCGGAAGCGAGGCCTGAAGGCGAAAGCGGGAGTGGGTCTCGGGAGGGAGGGGGCTTCCCGCAGAAGGGGGCGGGGGAGAAAGGTGCAAAAGTGGCCGGGAGCGCCAGGCAGGCTGTCTGCTGCTGCTGCTTTCCTGTGTGGAAGGCAGCGTGTGGCCACCACAAGCTCAAGGGGCTAACCTGGGAAGTGGGAGTGCACGCGTTCAGAGCAGCTTCTGGGAGGTCTGGAATAGTTTAGAGAGAGCCTCACGCTCTCGAATGCTGAGCAGGAGGGATTTTGGATGCCGGGGCAGCTGAGAGCTAGAAACCAAGGGCACGGGAGATCAGTCGTGAGGGCGGTAGGTTTGGGGGTGGCTGGTGGGCGCTACGTTGGAGAGCTTGGTTTGGAGTTTTCTACTGTCTTGCTCCTGTTGGGCAGACCCACGCTCTGCGCCTTTGTACAAGAAACGGTGTCTCCTGGGGCTAGGAAGGCGCCAGGATGGCCTGGGCTTTGAAGCTGCCCCTGGCCGATGAAGTGATTGAATCCGGGCTGGTGCAGGACTTTGATGCTAGCCTGTCCGGGATCGGCCAGGAACTGGGTGCTGGTGCATATAGCATGAGGTGAGTGATATTTCCCCAGCATCCTCTGACTAACAAAGGCAGGATAGAGAAAAGAAAGGTGATTTAAAAAAATGCATATAGAGTTTGAAAAACTGTCTGAGGTTGAGGAAAAGGTACTTGTTCTTTTGTTGCTTTGAGTAGTGAGTGTTGTAGAAGAAATGGAAAAGAGATTATAGGCAATGTGAAGTCTATATCCTGGGTCAGTGGAAGAAGGAAGAATGATCCTTGATTTGCAACCAGGTGAATGCTGAGAAGCTGTTGTGCCAATGTTGGGCACTTGGAGAGATGGTTGTGTGCTGTGTGTGGGTAAATTTGCATTTATGTACAAAAGGGGTTAGATTGTGCATGTGAGGATGTTTAGGAAACTGGGGAGTTGGGAGCTGGGTCTCCCATGATGAGTATTGGTTGACTGCTTGTTGGACGTTGGCAAAGAAGTTCACCTATCACTAGCTTGCTTTAAGGCTTTACTTAATTCTAGGACTTCTTATTTTTGAAACATAGCTGTGAAATTAAAAAGTGGTGGGAAGAACTGTTAGATGTTTATAAGCCTTCATGGGTCAAGCCAGTTGTTAATAATAGATTGATAATCTCCTTTGAAAGCAGCACTACTTCGTGTATAATGTATTTGCATGCATTGACTACTTCATTTGCGCCCCCCCCCCAGCTTCTTTTATAGATGTATAAGAATCATGTGTGGAAATGTTGAAACATCTGCATTTTAGGATTAAATGGACAATAGTTGGGTTACTTAATGCATTATAACGCTTACATAAGTGAACTTAACATTTCATTGGGTTTACGAGTTTATAGGGGAAATCTACTTTTTATGGGAAAAGTGGACAATTTTTTTTCACTTTAATTGTGATATCCTAGGAAATTTAAATAATGTAAAATTTCTTTCTTTATCCCTGATCATTAAAAGCAGATTTTCTTCACTAAAGTAAAATTATGAGTTTGAACTTAATGCTTCAGCATCTCCAGGAAACTTTTTGCTCACACTTAGAACAATAAAGGCAGTTCTGGTATAAATATTTTACTGATTTTTGGCATAATTAAACTGGGATACAGTTCTATCACACAGTGCTCAGTCTTGAGAAACTTAAGTTTTACCTGTCCTTGTTTACATAAACCTGGCCATGAAAATACAGTTTAACTTGGTCTGAAAGTAAATGCCCTGACCCTGAGCTTGCACACCAGTATATCCAACATAATATTTGACAGTGTATGCTGTAGTTCCTGTAAAGATTACCACAGCAAAAGTTTGATTTGGTTTAGGTTACCAAAGTTTAGAACGGAAATAATTAAATGTAACCACACTTGTTATAGTTAACATCATCAACAAATATTTGTTCATCTACTATGGGTGCTTCTATATACTTTCAATACCATACAACCTTAATTTAAGAATGTTTTCTAAAACCATACCCTGTGTGGTCTTCACAGATACTAGAATGGCTTGCACATTGACACATTGATGTTTGTCCAACATCAAAATCACGTTTTTTTAAATTGCCAGAGGGTGTGTGCACTTGCCAGATTGAGAATCAGAAAGTCTGGGAGAGAGGGAGAAAGCACTCCCTAATGGGGTGGTCATGCCGCAATCCCTTCTCCTCCATTTCTCCGTCCTAGTGGGATTTGAGGCATGCATGCACGCATAATAGTGTGTTTTTAAGGCTGCTGGAGCCGGGATTCCAACTGTGCAGTCGACCATGTGGGATCCAACTCCCTTAACTATTAAGCCATAGGGCCAGCCCTAACCATTTTTTAAAAACCATTTTATTTCATTTTAAAATTATTATTATTGTTCATTATTTTTTAAGAGCAATTTTTGCTGTAGGGCACATGCTCTTGCTGGAAAGACTGAGAGAGACAGAGACAGAAAGTGAGCAATCACTCCCTAGTTGGGGGGACAGCCACACTGCAATCTCTTCTCCTTCATTCTCCTCTCAGGATCTTGGGCACGTATGCACATGCGCCTGGCATGAGTTTCAAGCCATTGGGTTGAGGACTTGAACTGGTCAACTACATGGGAGTCTGACAACATAACCGTTACACTGTCTGCTGGTCCCAGTTTTATTATTTTTTAAATTTGACCAGAGAAAGAGAGAGGAAAGGGAGGGAAAAGAGAAAGTGAGAAAGCAAGCCGCCTGGTCTGGGACTTGAACCCTAGTGTGGGTCTACCTGCTTCTTTAATGGGAAAAATAAATAAATAAACTTTAAAAATAAATGAAAACAGGGAAAAAGGTTCATGACATTAGATCTGGCATTGATATCTTGGACTGACACTAAAGACAGCCAACAATAGAAAAAACAGTCTAATTGTACTTCATAACATTTTTTTTAAAAATTGTGCATCAGAAGACACTATCAGGGACCAGCAGATGATGTAGCAGTTAAGGTATTGTACTCTCACATGACCAACTGTGGTTTGAGTCCCAGAGCTAGCAGCTTGAAACATGATGGACACATAAGCATGTGTCCCAAATCCCAGAAGGAGAATGGAGAAGGGATTGTAGCATGACCATCCCCCCCCCCCAGGGGTGATTTCTCACCTTCCTTCTCTTTGTGTCTCTGTATCTCTCTCTCTCTGGTGAGCACATGTACCCCATGATCAAAAAAATTTAAAACCTAAAAAAAGATGCTATTAACCATAAAAGGCAGCTCATAGAATTAGAGAGTGTATTTGCAAATCACGTGTTCGATAAAGGATTAATATCCAAAATATATCGAGAGTTCCTAAAATCCAAAAGCAGCCTGAGTTAAAAATGGGTACAAGGGTCCAGCTGCTGTGGTACAGTGGTAATATAGCATTCTTCAAGGCTGGAAGTGTCATGGCCAACTGGAGGTTCAGGTCCTCTGTGGGCCTGGAGATACACAGGGTGCATCGAGGGCACCCAGAATACTGAGGAATGAAAGGACTGGATGGGATTACAGCATGATGAAACCCTGTTCAAGGCTGCGTTTGTCTCTCAATTATGTAAAATGTGCTATCATCATCTTTTTTTTTTTTTAAGAATTATTTGGGACCAACAGTTGACGTAATGGTTATGTTGTTGGACTCCCATGTAGTTGACCGTGGTTCGAGTCCCGGACCCGATGGCTTAAACTCAATGCTGGGCGCGTGTGCGTGCGTGCCTAAGATCTTGAGAGGAGAATGGAAAAGAAGGGATTACTGTGTGGCCATGCCCCCTGGGGCATGGTTTCTTGCTTTCTGTCTCTCTGTCTCTCTTTCTCCCTGTCTTTCTGGTGAGTGCAAGCACCCTATAGCAAAAACCTCTTAAAAACAAAGAATTATTTAATTTAATTTATTTGTGTATTTATTTATTTTAGTTCGACCAGAGAGAGACAGACTAAGAGAGAGAAAGCAAGCTGCCAGGTTCAGGACTTGAACTGTGGTTGGCCATGTGAGAGTCCACTGCCCTTAACCAACACTCCACCTTCTGGTTCCATCTTCTTTACAAAAGGAATAAAAGGGCAAAGGACTTAAAAAAATATCCCTCCAAAGAAGATATTCAAGAAGATATTTAATGGCCAATAAGCACATTAAAAATGCTCAACTTCACTAATTATTAGAGAAGTGCAAATCGAAATTACAGTGAGAGGCTGGCCCCATGGCCTAGTGGTTAAGAGAGCCTTGATCCCACATTGCTGATTGTGGTTTGAATTCCAGTCCTGGTAGTTTGAAAAACACACTGGATACATGTATGCCTCCTCAAATCCTGAGAGGATAGAAAAACAGAGAAAGGATTGTGGTATGACTGTGCCCCATTGTGCTCTCTCTCTCTCTCTCCCTCTCTGTCGTTCTGTCTCTGGCAAGTACACACACTTTCTGGCAATAATAATTTTTTTAAGACTTTTTAATCTTATTTAGTATTCTTTTTAAATTTGCTGTAGGGCACATGTTCTCACCAGAGAAATACAGAGAGAGGAAAAGTGAGAAAGCAAACTTCTAGGCCTGGAACTCTAACTGTGGTCAGCCATGTGGGAGTCTAGTGCCTTAACCATCATGCCACCTGCTGGCTCTGGCAATAATAATGGCAATAATAATTTTTTTTAAAACTCCAGTGAGATACTACCTCATACTCATGATGGCTGTTATCAAGAACATTAGAGGACTAGACCCCTGGCCTAGTGGTTAAGGGAACCAAATCCTTCATGACTGGCAACATGGTTTGAATCCTAGACTCAGTGTCTTGAAAAACACACTGGGGTCCCACAGGTGGTATGGTGGTTGAGGTACTGGACTTCTACATGACCAACCACAGTTCGAGTCCCAGATCTTGTGGCTTGACTTCTCACTTTCCCTCTCTTTCTTTGTCTGTGTCTTTGTGGTGTCTATGCCCCTATAGCAAATTGAAAATAAATAAATAAATAAATAAATAAAATGAAATATTAGGCTGTTGAGAAGGTCATGATGTGTTTTTCTGTGCAAAAATACATCATGACTTTTCCAACAACCAATAAATAATTCTAAAAAAGTTTTAGAAAAAGAAAATAAAAACACAACAGGTGCATGTGCATGTGTACCCCATATCCTAACAGGATTGAGAAGGGATTGTAGACTATGCTGGGGGTGGGGGTGCTTTCTCTCTCTCTTTGGTGAGTGTATCCTCTGATAAAATTAGAAAATACATGCATAAATAAAAGAACAGCAGAGACTAGCCATGATAGCAAGTGCTAGATGTTGC